TTATTGTTCTCTCAAGGTCTGTGAAGAAGTTTGCTGGGATTTTGATGGGAATTGCATTGAATCTATAGATGGCTTTTGGTTGAATTGCCATTTTTACTATGTTGATTCTCCCAATCCAAGAGCAGGAGAGGTCTGGCCATTTTCTGGTATCCTCCTCAATTTCTTTCTTCAAGGACTTAAAGTTCTTGTCAAATAGGTCTTTCATTTCCTTGGTTAGAGTTACCCCAAGATATTTTATGCTATATGTGGCTATCATGAAAGGTGATGTTTCTCTGATTTCCCTCTCTGCTTATTTATCCTTTGTGTATAGGAGGACAACCGATTTTTTGGAGTTGATCTTGTATCCTGCCACATTACTAAAGGTGTTTATCAACTGTAGGAGATCTTTGGTACAGTTTTTGGGGTCGCTTATGTACACTATCATATCGTCTGCAAATAACAAAAGTTTAACTTCATCCTTTCCAAATCGAACCCCCTTGATCCCCTTATGTTGTCTTACTGCTATTGCTAGAACTTCAAGCACTATATTGAAGAGGTATAGAGAGTGGTCAGCCTTGTCATGTTCCTGATTTTAGTGGAATGGCTTTGAGTTTCTCTCCGTTCAATTTGATGCTAGCTGTCGGCTTGCTATATATTGCTTTTATTATATTTTGGTATGATCCTCGTATACCCAATCTCTCCAACACCGTTATTATAAAGGGGTGTTGAATTTTGTCAAATGCTTTTTCAGCATCCAATGAAATGATCATATGTTTTTTTTCTTTCAGTTTATTTATATGATGGATTACATTGATAGATTTGCATATGTTGAACCAGCCCTGCATCTCTGGGATGAAGCCCACTTGATCATAATGGATAATTTTTCTAATGTATTCTTGGATTCGGCTTGCCACTATTTTATTGAGTATTTTAGCGTCAATGTTCATGAGTGAGATTGGTCTGTAATTCTCTTTCTTGGTTGTGTCTTTGTGTGGTTATGATATCAGGGTAACTGTAGCTTCATAAAAAGAGTTTGGCAATGATTCTTCTGTTTCTATATTGTGGAATACATTAAGGAGTATACGTATTAGCTCTTCCTGGAAGTTCTGGTAGAATTCTGCATTGAAACCATCTGGTCCTGGGCTTTTTTTGGTAGGGAGATTTTTGATAACAGCTTCTAATTCTTCATGACTGACAGGTCTATTTAGATTGTTCACCTGATCTTGGTTCAACTTTGGTATATGGTACTTATCTAAAAAATGACCATTTCTTTAACATTTTCCAACTTTGTGGCATATAAACTTTCGTAGTAAGATCTAATGATTCTCTGAATTTCCTCTGTGTCTATGGCTATGTCCCCCTTTTCATTTCTGATCTTATTAATTTGCATGTTCTCTCTCTGCCATTTGATTAATTTGGATAGGTGTTTGTCAATCTTGTTGATTTTCTTCAAGAACCAGCTTTTTGATTCATTGATTCTTTGGATTGTTGTCTGTATTTCTATTTTGTTGATTTCAGCCCTCAGTTTGATTATTTCCAGTCTTCTAGACCTCCTGGGTGAATCAGCTTCTTTTTTTCTAGGGTTTTCAAGTGTGCTGTTAAGTCTCCAATGTGTGTTTTCTCCGTTTTCTTTAATTGGGTACTTAGTGCTGTAAACTTTCCTCTTAGCACTGCTTTCATAGTGTCCCATAGGTTTGAGTATGTTGTGTCTTTATTTTCATTAAATTCAAGGAAGACTTTAATTTCTTTTTTTATTTCTTCCTTGACCCAGGGATGATTCAGTAGTTGACTGTTTAACTTCCATGAGTTTGTTGGTTTCCTGGGGGTAGCACTGTTGTTGAATTCTAACTTTAATCCATGGTGGTCTGACAAGACACAGGTGGTTACTGATATTTTTTTGTATCTGTGGAAGTTTGCTTTGTTACCCATTATGTGGTCAATTTTTGAGAAGGTTCCATGAGCTGCTAAGAAGAAGGTATATTCTTTCCTATTTGTATGGAATGTTCTATAAATGTCTGTTAAGTCCATTTGATTCAATACCTCCAATAATTCTCTTATTTCTCTGTTAGGTTTCTGTCTGATTGACCTGTCCATTGGTGAGAGGGGAGTGTTGAAGTCTCCTACTCTTAGTGTCTGTGGTTTGATGACTGCCTTGAGTTCTAGAAGTGTTTCTTTTACATAAGTAGGAGGCTTTATATTAGGGGCATAGATATTCAGGATTGAGACTTCCTCTTGATGAATTGTTCCTGTTATGAGTATAAAATGCCCATCTCCATCTATTCTGATTGATTTTAGTTTGAAGTCAATTTTGTTGGAAATTAGAATGGCCACACCTGCTTGTTTCTTAGGTCCGTTTGCCTGAAAAACCTTTTCTCAACCCTTTACTCTGAGTAGATGTCTGTTTTGTGGTTGTGGTGTGTTTCTTGTAAACAGCAGAATGTTGGATCCTGTTTTTGTATCCAATCTCTTAGTCTGTGCCTTTTTATAGGTGAATTGAGTCCATTAATATTAAGTGATATTAATGACCAGTGGTTGTTGACTCCGGTTATTATTATTTTTTGTTTGTTTGTTTAATAGAGTTTGTATGTGTCCCTTCTTTGAGTTAAGTTTGTGAAGGGTTGCTAGATGTCTGAGTTATTGTAGGCAGTGTTGGCAATGTTGGATTCCTTGGGTTGCGATTTTCCTTCTATTACTTTCTGTAAGGCTGGGTTTGTGGCTACGAATTGTTTAAATTTGTTCTTATCCTGGAATGTTTTCTCCATTGATAGTGAATGATCATTTGGCTGGGTATAGTAGTCTGGGTTTGCATCCATGGTCTCTTAGTTTTTGCAGTACCTCTATCCAGGACCTTCTGGCTTTCATGGTTTCCATAGAGAAGTCCGGTATAAGTCTGATAGGTTTACCTTTATAAGTTACTTGACATTTTTCCTTTGCAGCTCTTAATATTCTTTCTTTAATCTGTATGTTTTGTGTTTTCATTATTATATGGCGAGGGGATGGTTTTTTTTTGATCAAGTCTATTCGGTGTTCTGTATGCTTCTTGGACCTTCATAGGAATATCATTCTTTAGATTGGGAAAGTTTTCTTCTATAATTTTGTTGAATATATTTTCTGGGCCTTTGATCTGCAGATCTTCTCCTTCTTCAATCCTTATTATTCTTAGATTTGGTTTTTTTATAGTGTCCCAGATTTCTTGAATGTTTTGTGATGAGAATTTGTTGGATTTGATGTTTTTTTTTTTTTTTTGATCAGAACATTTATTTTCTCTATGGTATCTTCAGACACTGAGATTTGTTCTTCCATCTCTTGTATCCTATAGGGTATGTTTGATTCTGTAGTCTCTGTTTGTTTACCTAGATTTTCCATATCCAGCCGGCCCTCGTTTTGTGTTTTCTTCATTGCCTCCATTTCAGTTTTCAATTCTTGAACTGTTTCCATTACCTGTTTGATTGATTTTTCTTGGTTTCCCAGGGTATCATTCACGGATTTAATCATTTCTTCTAACTTTATGTTATACTTCTCATCCATTTCTTTACTCATTTCTTCAATCTTTTTGTTGTATTTCTCATCCAGTTCTTTAAGGGAGTTATTCATATCCTGTTTAAGGGACTCTATTGCTTTCATAATGGCACTTTTTTCCACTTCTTCTGAATTAAGAGGTTCAGGTCCTTCTGTTGTAGGGTCATTGGGATCTGGTGATTTCATGTTGTTTTTTTTAGATTATTGGAGGAGTTCTTGCCTTGGCATCTGCCCATCTCTTCCTTCAAATGCTCTATATTGGATCTTCTGGTACCAGGTCAGGTTCCCTTTTTGGGCAGGGACTTCACAGACAGAAGGTCTACCTTTCCTCAGGCAGTCTATTGAAACATAGGCGCTCCTTCCTGCTGGGTTGCACTCACAGCCCAGGCCCAGCGTGCAAGGGAGCTGCTCTGGGGAGATCTTGTAAATAATCTACTCTTGTACTTTCCAAGTTTTTAACTTTGCTTCTTAAACCTACTGAAAATTAAGGCTTCTTTTAAGTGTGGAATTTCCAACATCAACGACTCTATTTTCAGGGTTAGGGATGTATCTCAGTGACAGAGCACTTGTCTAGCATCAATAAGCTGAGTTCTATCCCTCACCATACCCCACTTTTACACACATGCACTCACCACATGTATGTGTCTGTTTTGTGTATTATTAAAATTACCTTCCTACTTTAACGTGGACTCTTCCACCAGGCAGTGCCTCCCCAATAACAAATCTGTTGCCACACAGCAAACAGTGATTCAATATGCTGACAGGCACAATGTGCTCTGTAATCGTTTCAACTTTAATAACTCAAGCCACCAAAATTATAGTAAGAAGGAAACTGGGAAATATTATTTGACTAAAACTTTCTCCACTTCTGAAACTACAAGAACTCTTTAGATGAACATTAAATTATATTTATGTAGCTCTTCATATAGAGGTACAGACTTACATTTCCTTTGAAAGCATAGGACTACACTTCATATGTGTGACATAATATGTTATTTATTGGTTTCCTTAAGAAGAAAACAAATATTTTGTGTCCTTTCAGGAAAGTGTTATAACCAAGCTTTGTGGTGCATTTCTTTAATCCCAGTGCAAAGAGAGGTGGACTGTTATGAATCGTCTGAAGCCAGCCAGAGCTACAGAATGGAAGCCTGTCTCAAAAGGAGAGAGAAATAAAACCAATCTGTGGAGAGAATCAAAACCCTTGATGGGAGACATGTGCGACCACTTCAAGCTGAAGTGGCTCTGTACATACACTGGGACTCTAAAAGGAAGTGACCTTATGGGAGATTGGTGACTCGAAGCTCTGAATTTTGTAGTTCTGCAAAAATATATTAATATACAAAAGAACAAAACTACACTCTATAGATTTTCCTCCCAGGGTAAGTTCTGTGTGACACATTTCCTGGGAAAAGTCCCTGCTCAGAAGTGCCAGTACACATAGTTGTGAGAACTAGAGCCAGGCCTTGGAGGAAAATCTATAGAGTGTAGTTTTTTTCTTGATTTTAGGAACTTGAAAGAAATTTTAAGTGTTCTGGTAAATCCAGTTGCTTTTTTGCTTCTTCAATGTCACCCTGAATTGCTGAAATAAGTGACTCTAAACAATCAAAGTTGTTTTCTGGTCTGAGGTAGCCAACAATGGCCACATCGAGAATTTCCCCATAGAAGACCTCTTTGAAGGTGTGGATGATGTGGCTTTCCATGGACTTTTTCACACTCTTGTAGTATGTGTTCCATCCTATGCTCACGACCATTTTATGGACGGCTCCACTCCCGACACTGGCCCAACCATAATAAATGCCAGTAGATATATCAGCCGGAAGACTGTCTACTACTTGCTCAGGAAAATTGGCTGTGAGGCTGCGGCTGAAGCCATACACCACCTGGCCACAGCAGGAGAATGGCAGGCTCCTCATGATGCCAACCTCGGGGGACGCGGGCTGTTACTAGCTCCAAGGCTGTGGTGCCTGGGCCCGGGCCAGCCAGGGATCCTGCAGAAGCTGGGCTGGCAGAGCGGCCTCCAGCACCAGCACTCAGTCGACTCTCCGCTGGAACTGCCAAGATATGCATTTTCATCTCCTAAAATTGAGACAATATCAATTCTATCTTCTTGCTTATATTTCTCTATAGAACACACTAATAGTGTACAATATATGACTTACTAATATCAGAAAAGAAAAATATCTTTATATAGAATCAAGTTTCATGACTGAATTTTCTTTTTCTTAGTTGGGGTTACTATTGCTATAATGAAACATGACAAAACAACTGTGGATGAAAGGAATTATTTGGATGACACTTCCACATCATTGCCTATCATTCAAGGAATTTGGGACAAGAAGTCAAGCAGGGCAGGAACCTGGAGGCAGGAGGTGAGGCAGAGGCCATGGAGGGATGTTGCTTGATGGCTTGCTGCTTGTGATTTGCTCAACCTGTTTTCTTATAGTACCCGGAATCACCAGCCCTGTGGTGCATCTGGCCAGAATGAGCTGTTCTCTCCCTAAACAATCAGTAATTAGGAATATGCCCTACAGTTTTGCATATGGCCCAATCTTAAGGATTTATTATTTTTTTTCAATTGGGGTTCCCTCCTCTCAGATATCTTGTGACAGGTTGACACAGAACTAACTATCACAATGAGAATGCATAATGGAAGGGGGAAACAGGTGGTGGTAATGATAAACCTACAAATCACATCTTCAATGCAAACATGAAGCACAGTGAGTGAAGGGAAAGTGTGACTAAGCTATGGAAGTGGGAAGAGGCTATGAATTTACAGAGCCAATCTCAGTGATAATTTTTCTCCAGCAATGACATACCACCTCCTTAAATACCACCACCAACTCAGAACAAAGTGTTCAAATACTTGAGCCCATGGAGACATTTCTCATTAAAAAGATATCACAGGTGAAATAATATATTTTTGTTTTAGCATTTTAAATTGTTATTGCTTTTTCTCAAAAGGTTCTAACTCTAAACAAGAGTAAATGTAAGTTTATGTGAGAAGAGACAATACAGGATTGCTTTGTTAAACCACAGTATATTTTCACAATAACAGAATTAGGAAATATAGCTAAATATATAAAAAACTAAATAAACACAATAAAATTTTGACAAAAATAAGGGAAATATTTAGGTGATGTGTCATAATATGTGATAATCATGGAAAAGCAAATAGCAAAGTTTCATTTAAAAGGCTATTAAGTCAAGTAAATCCACAGCATGGAATCAAGATTAAGATGATGTAAGCTAATGACTTTCTTTGACAAATGTTGAAAAATGCATATTTGTTAGAAGATATTTGGGAAAATAATTCTTTGAATTTTATAACAACTATTATAATGATTCAAACACCATGCTTGATTTACTTCTTTCATATATATTCTATTTTTAGGTATATTAGTTACTTTCATGTTGATATTATAATAAAAATAAAATATGACCAAGGCAACTTAAGAAGAAAAGAGTTGATTTTGACGCAGGGTTACAAAGGGATAATGTTCCCATTTAGGCTGGGAGGTATGGTTACAAGCAACACACAGTTTAAGATGTGAGCTTTTACTTGTCTTCTGCAAACATGAAACAAAAAAAGTCAAACTGGAAGAAGTTCAACCAGTGTTTTTAATATCAAAACTTTCCTTGAGTGACATACTTCCTCCAGCGAGGGTGTATCTTCTAAACCTCCCCAGATAGCACCACCAATTGAGAACCAACTGTTCAAATATCTGAACAACTCAAGAGTGGGAGATATTTTCATTTAACTCATTGTGGTAGAACTATTGTGAAAGGGCTTTCATATATGTTCTTGTACAATAATTTATTTTTTAAAAAATATCAGCTTAAATTGATGCTGACAGTGATATTAAATTTTTTAGTGTCCACAGTATTATGTATCTTTTTCAAATTCAAATGTGCATTAGAAGTCACACTAATGCTTCCTACATTATGACAATGAAATATTATTTAAAAATTGTTGGAAATTTTGCTTTGATTTATTTTCATTTTGTACCTGTCTAATATATTGTTGGATATTTATGGAAATTCCGTTTTCTCAAACAATAGGGAGGGACCATTTTATGGTATCCAATTTTAATTAAATTTATTGTTGGGCCAAAATTATCTTAGGATCTATACCTTGAAACCTGTAGGACAGAGAAAAGTCTGGCTCAAGTTTGAGGAATAGTCTCAAAGCTACCAAGGATAAAACATCAAAATCCAGGTAGATGACCCTCCACCCAGAGGGGAGAGCTCGGCTGTCTCCCATTGGCTGGAGGTACCCACACATCACATGATATCACTTAACCTACATAAACTGAGACTCACAGTAATAAACTGAGTTCCTATTTTGACTTGACTCTCTATTGTGTCTGATTGTCCTGTGTCATGGGTTGCAAAACAGGCAGATAGTGTACTCACCTTTCCCTGGGGAATAAGGATAAGGATGTCTGGCAATTTATGATAAAAAAGTAGCACTTTGGTCAGTATTATGAAGGAAACCAAATTTGAAATCTTGTAGATTTCAAACCATTTAGTATCTGACTGAACCAATTTCCCTTCATTATTGTTGACTTTTTCACAGACCTATGCAAATCTTGTCTGCTGGACCTAGAATCTGAGGACCTGAAAGAATTGGGCAGACTACAATCTAATTCTGAAGACAATCTTCCTTTAATTTATGTACCAACATACACCAATGAAACAAAGAAAGTAATTATCTAAGAAAGGTTGATCGAGTTCAGAAAAAATATAGATATCTGTAAGCATGTACTAAATATTAACAGAGCATACTATTAACAGTCTTTACAGAAATTGAAACAAAATTGTCTGGCACATACTATAGATTGTATATCTGGAAAATCATGAAAGCAAGGCAGAAGGCAATATAAAAATTTAGGACACATTAATCAGATTGGGTTCTATGGCTATGTTCTGATGTTTAACAAGAATAAATATGTCTTATAAATTGAATGTAAATGTTTAACACAGGAGGCACCAAATCATGTCCAAGAAAAATCCAGGGTACAAAATGCACCTGAGGTAAAAGGCCACCTCTGGTCCCTTACCTGGAGCCTTTCTCATATTTCTCTTATTGTTCACCAGGCGTCATTCTTTTGACAATGTTCTAACATACATATTTTTTGTTTGTTTAAAAATTTAGTCAGTAATGGCACCAAGTAAAGGTTTCTGTCCTAGAGATTAAACAATAAATATTAATATAGATGTTCTGAATTTTGTGAGATGATATGGCTCAGATAATAAAAGTACTTTCTGGCAAGACTGATGTGGTGGTTTGAAGAAAAATGGCTCCATAGGGAATGGCACTATTAGGAATTGTTGCCTTTTTGAGGATGTATGTCAGCGTGAGTGTGGGGTTTGAGGTCTCCTATGCTCAAATTATGCACATTTCCTGTTGCCTTTAGATCAAGATATAGAACTCTAGGCTCCTTCTTCAGCACTATGCCTGCATGACAGTTGCCATGAGAGATTGGACTAAACCTCTAAACTGAAAGCTAGCTACAATTAAATGATTTCCTTTTAAAAATAGCTTTTATGTCTGGGCAGTGGTGGCACATGCTTTGAGTTCCAGCATTCAGGGAGCAGGGGCAGGTGGTTCTCTGTGAGTTTGAGGCCAGCCTGATCTACAAAGTGAATACAAGGACAGCCAGAGATATTACACAGAAAAACCCTGTCTTGAAAAACACAATAAAATAATACAAAAAGAGTTGCTTTGGTCATGGTGTCACATCATGGCAACAGAAACCTTAACAAAAACACATGGTAAACTAAGGTCTCGTGCCAGAAATCAGGGAAATAGAGGACTGACTTCCTCAAATTATCCTCTGACCTCCATAATTGTACCATGGCATGCATGTACACTTTTATAAACAATCATGCATGCATAAGCACAGACACACATACAATAAATAGATGCATGTATGCATAAATAAATAAATATGATATATTTAGAAATACATAAATTTGTTCCCATGGAAATTCCTTTATAGTAAGAGTAAATGTATTGCAATAAAATGTCAAATATTGAAAGGTATCATGTAGGGAAAAAATAACTAAATATAATAGATGCTACTGAATATTAGCATAGAAAGAAGGATTAAAATTTTCACTTGATATAGATTATATATAAATTAGTGAGTGATCTTAGTAAAAATGGTTCCAGGAACTTGAGAGAATACTTAGTAAGAGAGCTAGCTCTGCTAGAATGTGGACCTGAGTTCAAATCCCGTTCACCAACATCAAAGTTGTGCAGTACCACATGTGTATGTGCCCCTAGTATTGGAAGACAGGCATATTCTGAAAGATCTCTAGCCCACTATGCCATCTGAAGCACCAAGGTTTGGGTTTAGTGAGAAACTATGTGCCAAAGAATAAGATGCAGAGATATAGAGAAAAATACCTAAGTTATTGTCTTGAGTGCATCCATACCGGTGCCCACAAGTATATATATCCATATTATAATGTTTCAGAGTGATTTCAGTCTCACAGGAGGGTTTTCTGGGGTGGCTGAAAATGAAGAATTGTAGTTTAGTTACATAATGAATGAATAATAAATGCTATATCCTGATAAAATATAGATCATGGAACATAGACCAAAGCCTTGTAGATGTCTATGTAATCTCTATCCTTGATGCTTGTAAAGCAATTATTTTTTAAATAACAATGTAATGCTTCTCCATAAAGAGATACCTTAGAGATACCTGCCAACAGCCCTCCCCACAAAGATTGTACAGTGCAATTTCATCTAGTACAAGATCTACCACAGACCTGGGCACTGTAACTCCAGGAGGCATTTAGGACGGTATTCCAGTTTCTTAATGTGAAATTCCCATCCATCCATGTTCCTTTCTAAAAGGAATCCTTAGCAGATAAACTGAACATTCTTCAAAAGAAAACAAAA